ACACTGTGTGAAGTCCGTTTCTGGTGTCCCCCGCCATGATATTGTTGGAATAGTGCTAACAGCGGCGTAAAACCCAATTCACTCACTCACTCACTCACTCACTCACTTTATCTCTCATAAAGGACCATTAAACTCTCATTGTCAAGTCACTGCATACATATATATGATATGCAGTGTTATGATTGCATAAGTTCATCACCTTACCTCATAAAAAGCTATTACCTGCTAGCTGGTCATTATTGACATACTAATGTAGGCATGATTGAAATAGTGATTGAATATATATACTCTTCAAAACAATCAATGCATAGGCGTTTTCACCAGTTCATTTCGATATATTGTGACAGCAATCAAAATCACTTTAATCATTGTGTTGTTGTGTATTGCGTGCAAACGCATCCAAATTAAATGTATTTGTAAACGTTTGTCAGTGCACGTACAATGTGTTGGACACATGAGTAGAGATATCGACTATAAAAGACCAAACCAAATTCATCATTTCATTACGAAATTTACGACTTAAGCGAAAATAAAAAATGCCAAGATTGAATGATACTGACCGAAATATCGCCATTGGACGTTTGCAAGCAGGGGGTGCCAGTCTGCCGTTGCGAGGTCACAGCACCATATCTCGATTATGACATCGATATACACGCTTCAATTCCACCCAAGATCGTCCCAAAGGTGGAGGAGCAACCACTCCTGCTTTGGACCGATTCATCCGGGTGTTACACCTACGTCACCGATTTGCTACAGCAACAGGACACTGCAGGACGATTTTCCAACCAAAAACCATAAGAAATCGTCTGAGAGAAGTGGGAATTCGATCATATCGACTAAAGGTTAGACCTGTCCTGACACGACTACATTGACAACGACGTGTCCAAAGGTGCAACAGGGTACATATGCATGGAACCTGGGGAACGCATGGAACGCGTTTAGTTCAGCGATGGGAGACAACGTGTCGATCGACGTTAACACAAACGTTTTGCGCCGAAATGCGTTCGACGGGTGGACAGATTTGGTGTGGGGAGCCATGGTCCTACAGGGTAGATCGGAGCTACTGGTGGTTCGACAAAATCCTGCAACCTCACCTCCTCCCATTTTTTAACCGCCAGAGAGAGCTGTTTCAACACGACAACGCTCGACCCCACACAGCTCGTTTAACAGGTGCCTGTCACGCCAGTGCAAACGTCAATGTCCTCCCAAATCGGCTGATCTGAACCCGATCGAGCATCTATGGGACAAACTTGATCGACGCGTCCGTAAACGTCACCATCGTCCTCAGTCACTTGTAGAACTTGCCAACGCGTTGCACAGGAAATGGTGAAGAATTCCCCTAGCAAAAGTCCGTGCAATCCAAACCGAGGCGGTTCCGAGCAGTGACGCTAGGTACTGACCTGAACGCCCCCTTGTGTCCACCCATGTGCAGTGAGTGAACTGAATTGATGCTGACAATGACAACAATACATATGTTCATTCGAGTGGTGAATTTCTTCATCTATGTTCAAGCTTTATCGACTTACTTACACTCAAATACGTTGAATACATTTCCTTATTTTGGGCCTATGCGTTTCCTTTTTTTGAACAGTGTATATGCAATATGACATTTGCATCTTTGCATATCAAGATGAAACAAACTATAAAAATGCATACCCTGTGAGTGACACCGGAGCGTAACCTTCGGCCTCAGAGGTTGCCGACCCTTAGAATACGCAGTATTCGTAAGCTGTAGCCTACGTTATAAATAACATTCATATCTATAGAACATTGTTGATCAATAATATACACAATGCAGACAACATATACATTTTCTAAATAGCATTACGTCCATATTTATATTATTCCTGATTATTACACTTTGGATAATAGTCATGCAGAAAAAGCTTACAATATGCATTCAGATGAAAATAGTACACAGGCATTACACATTCATCCATTCAACCCGTTCATAACAATCTTCCTCGTCATTCCTAACTATTTACAATATCACACATTAGATTGCTTAAACTTATTCATTGCTATCAATAAGATTAATAAACTACAGGGCAAAATAACGTTATCACTTTTAAAGTAATTGTATAAAAAAAAAACCCGCTGGTACAGGTTTGAACCCAGGCAGAAGACGTTCGCCAAAACGCAACATGCTCTCGATATCAACGCAGCTATACGAAAACATCCTACGAATAGTAAAACTTGAAAAACTTAATTGTGGGACATTAGTCCAAATGCACGTGCATGACTGTGACATAAATACCGATGTTTGACGGAACAAACATGCAGTAACCCAAAACCCACCTAGAATATGCCAAGACTTACGCAAGCGCAACGAGACAGGGCCATCGATATGGCCAATATGAGGGCTTCACAACATCGGCTGGCAAGAAAATGTTACTGCAGCGAGGCCACCATTAGCAAATTGATGAACCGCTACCAGCAAACAGGCCAGACGAGACCGCCCAAGAGTAACGATACCGGCTGAAGACCGTTATATCCGGCTGCGCATGAGGCCCAGTGATCCCTGTATCCCTCATCCCTGTATCAGATTGCCATTGACAATGACAAGTTGTGTCCGATCATGAGATGTGATGTCTCCCCATACCACAACGCCTCCGAACGTTGAACAACGCCTCTGGACGTTGAACATAACGTTCACCTCGCCGTCTGTACACCTTTGCCATGCCATCTGAGCTGTCCAGGTGAGATCTCGACTCGTCAGTGAACAAAACACCATCCCAATCTTGTCTCCTGTACCGTAGATGCTGTCTGCACCAGGCAAGACGTGCCTGTCGTAACATATGAGCTAAAATGGACGTATTGCACTCCCTCGGGGCCACATGTTGTGCTCCCTCAGTCGGTTCCGCACAGTTCGCACATGACAAGCATCGAGACATTAGTCACCACTCGCCCCTTTCTGTAAACTGCAAGAAGACTCGCTCCCCTCTCGATGCTTGCTAGGTGCGAAAATACGACAAACCAATCAGAACGGGCGTAATGATTGCGGTGTTTTGATAAAGATAATCCAGGAGTACTTTAATCGATTATGACATGATGTCATTGTTTTTAAAATTCATTAAAAATATATATCGTCATATTAAAAGTACAAAGAGCCTAGCGAAAAGTATTGTTTTGTCTCATGTGTAGGTTTTAGTAAGGATAACGCCATTGACGGTGAGAGATAACAGCTCTCAAGGGTCCAATTGAGTGCATTTCTGACGATCTTGAGGGTTTACTTTGGAGATTTTACGTGCGCTCTCGAACATTTTTAGGAAATATAACTATAAATCGTCAAGAATTTCAAAACAGTAGTAGTATAACTATATATAACTAATCAACTGTAATCTTGAACATTGGGCTTATATTTAACATCTCTGGGGATATTTTAGTCTGACATTTTTGAGAATGTTCAGTTCGAGAAATATTTTAAAGTCATCTTTGAGTATCTGCTATGGGATTTAATGTAGCTGAAAAATAAGATTACTTTATTAGCATATTCAATAAAACAAATCCCATTTTTTTATTCTTAAAAACTATTTAGAAATATTCATTTGGAAATATAAGGTGAACAGCTGGTAATAACTACGTTTCAATATGTCTTTAACAAAAGACATTTCATGCTTTAAGTTGTTTCAAAGAGGTTTAATTCTTTGAAACAAATAAATATAAACAAAATCAGCAATACAATGCATCAGTGCAGCAATACAATGCATCAGTGCTTCTGTGATATTAGTACCTTTGGAAATCAAACAGGAATAGAGTTATCGTTCTTGCTTAAAGTAGTTCTGATGTTCATGCGCCAAAATGAAATCCCATTCGTAACTACTCGTCCCTTTCCGTAACCTGAAAGTAGACTCGTACCCCTCTCATAGCCATGTCAGGGAGAAATATTCCCCTAGCCAATCAGAATGCGCGCATGTAGAGAAGACATTTGGTCAAAATAGGTCTTTGAAATATTTTTCATTTCGGCTTGCATAATTTTTCCCAGACACTTAGTATATTCTAATAATTGCATAGTCCTCCTAGGTTTCCTGATTTTTATAACCAGGATATATTTACATTATGGCGTAGGAAGGTATTTAAGCTTGTTAAACATACCCTTTGAGGTAATTTCCTTGGCGTGGATGCCATGTGCGTTTTCCAAGTAAACTAGAGTTGCATGCCCTTGAAAATAGTTCGGCGACTAGACTATTTCTTTCTCCCCGCGCTTTTGCGCTCAGACAGAGCCACGTTCACTAAAATGGCTACGAGAGGGGTACGAGTCTACTTTCAGGTTACGGAAAGGGACGAGTAGTTACGAATGATGAAATCCTTCAAAAGGGACACGAGTCACGGCTTGTCACGGAATAACACGAGTTGGTCACGAATGAGGTATTACCACTTATACGTACCACATCGTCTGTATTGTTTTGTTTGTTTTTGCTCGTTTCGCCGCACCCAGCAATGTTCAAGCTCTATGACGGCGGTCTGTAAATTATCGAATCTGTGCTAGGCAGTCCGGTGATTGATATCAAGAGCACTGATCAAACTGGGATGGGGTTACATGCATCACCGACTTCACGTCAACGAGCCTGACCACCCGATCACGTTATTCGCCTTACACGACAAGCATGGTTTTCTGAAGACTAATTCTAACCCATGAGTAAAGTTGTTCCATGACCTATAGTGCACCGTGACATCGCCAAAATTGATCCTTTTGGTCGCCCCTCACGATAAGTACAAGCTACATGGGGAGTATATTCTAACCAATCGTTGTGTTTTAAACTTTGGCTTGTATCGTTGAAACTCATGGTTCGATTCTCGACGTTGGTACGGTGTTCTTGAAGCATATTCTTCTTCCTCAACTTTAAATCCTCAGCCACCCGTTCGCGGTACAGTTTACTGTTTGTCGATATTAACTCAAGGTGTGTTTCAGAGAACGGCAAGCTCACTTTGTTGATTGTTGATTGGCTAATGCTACTATTAACGCCAATATGACTCATATAAACAAAAATGTATTCATAAAAAGTTTTATACATATTTTATAGCATATGTTTATTGCTAGATTTCTGTGAGTATAAGCAAGTAACACCAGCGGGACAAAGTACTTGTGTTTCAATAAAGATGAATGTATTTTGTTTTGTTTTTTAAAGAAATGAATCTTTTGATACATATTCATGACGACGTCTTCGCGAATAAGGTCGGGATTCACAAACAGCACGTGCATGTTGATTTACGGCGCATAATTTACATGTTTGGTATATGTTGTTGTCATGTTCATCAAAACATCAACATCATTTCTTTGGAGATATTGTCTACAGCAGGGCATGACTCACAAGACTGCATTCATGGTTTGTCACGGACCGGTCGTCCACGTGAGACGTCACGTCAGCAAGGTTTAGTCTGTTTGTCGTTTACCTCAACAAGAAAATCATGTTCGGTTTATGCATCTTCGGAATCGATACCTCACTGGCAGAATAACTATAGCTGGGAACATTCTGTGGATACAGAACTATTGGTAGTGGCCCACCATTGGGCAAAGATGACCAAATCACTGTCAGGACGTAAGTTGTTAATGACACAAGAGAACACTGTGGCTTGACACTTGGGGACACTGTGAAATGACCCTGGGGAACACTTTGACAACATGACGTACGGACACATAGTAACACTGTGAAACACTATGGCATGACACATGGCAACACTGAAACACTATGGCATGACACATGGCAACACTGTGAAACACTATGGCATGACACATGGCAACACTGAAACACTATGGCATGACACATGGCAACACTGTGAAACACTTTAGCATGACACATGGAAACACTGTGAAACACTATAGCATGACACATGACAACACTGAAACACTATGGCAATACACATGGCAACACTGTGAAACACTATGGCATGACACATGACAACACTGTGAAACACTATGGCATGACACATGACAACACTGTGAAACACTATGGCATGACACGTGTTAACACTGCTGCAGTCATGCTACCCTACAATAACAGTTGTATGTGAGTCAAGGACACGTTTGATGAACAAGTTCCATTTCGTTTCCCATTGCTGCAGTGCTGAAGCTTTCTCCTGGGTCGTCATTCTGCTGAAACTGAACAGAACAAAATATATTAATATACCAAAACACCATTAACATCACAACCACTCACCCGAACAGTTTTACTTTTCTTGTTTCCTAATCGCGGGAACACAGAAAAGCTGACATTATGGCAATGGCGATTATGCCATAGTACTCGTACTGTCAAGATCTTTGTGAAACCTGTTCGGACTCCACGAATAATATCTGTCTGTCGGATGCGTGCGTGCGTGTATGTGTATACAAATGGTGAGGTTGACCATGTACACAAATAAGGATCATTGCAGGAGTGTCATAATGCTATCCTCATCTCCCGCCTATCGAAAATAACATCTTCAGAATACACGGAAGTAAATATAAGTTAAATCGACCATGGGAAAAGGATTCAACGAATGCACAGTATGGTTTACCAAACTCGAGAAAATTATTTCAAGAGTGAGTGAGTGAGTGAGTGAGTTTAATTTTACGCCGCACTCAGCAATATTCCAGCTATATGGTGGCGGTCTGTAAATTATCGAGTCTGGACCAGACAATCCAGTGTTCAACACTATTACAAGAAAGGAAGCAGCCCCAAGTGTATGTGAACATGCGATTAAACTGCTGCTTTCAAGATTTTAATTGTAAATCCAGCTTCACATATTGTATGCAACAGTGAGATTTGTAGTGTGTTGTCGTGATACTTTCTCATTTCATACATTTATGTCCTTACTTCCCTCGGAACAGATTGAGAAACACAATACAATAGAAGACGTTCAGGGTGCAGTGAAGCCTCCATTCAGTCTTCTATGTACTTTGTTTGTTTGTTGCTTAACGTCGCACTTAGCAAACTTCCAGCTATATGGCGTAAATAATCGAGTCTGTATCAGAAAGTCCACTGATCCAGTGTGCGAAATAGTTTCCAAAGTTTGCTAACAAGTCGGGCTAGCTATGAGGGTTACTAGCCCACAAAATATTTCACTAGCCCGAAATTTGAATGTAGAGGCGAAGCAAAAGATTACAAAAATAGAGGAGGGGTTTCATCAATAAGTTGCTCGACCTACGCACTTGGGATTCAATGATTTGTGTCAACCAAGTCAGCGAGCCTGACCATCCGATTCAGCTAGTCGCCTCTTACGACAAGCATGGGTTGCTGAAGACCAATTCTCGTCCGAATCTTCTTTGTTAGATGTCTTTCTAAGCTTACTTGATTGAGTTCATGGCGATCTGTTTCAGAAACCTAAGGTCATCATCTGACGCAGCTAGAGCCATGAACGCCATGTAGAAGTCATGTGACAGTGGAAGGGCCTCCCAGGGCGCTGGATCATCAGAACTGATGCACACTGGGAAATCCTGGGAGATCAAGATCGCCGCTGGATGGTTCCTCAAATCAGAGACGAGCTTCAGAACCTGAAAGAGTGAAAGCAGTAAAAGTAACTCTCAACTGTCACATGCGTTTTGTGTGAGCATGTAGGCGCGCAATTTTCTTTACTCGGGACTACCATTGTGAAGGGGCGGTTGGGGGTAGTCTAGAGGTAAAGCGGTCGCTTATCACGCCAAAGACTCGGGTTTGATTCCATTACGTAGGTATAAAGTGTGAAGCCAATTTCTGGTATTCCCTAGCGTAATATTGCTGGAATATTGGTAAAAACAGCGCAAGGAAATGGCTGCTTAAATGTTTGGTTGCTTTGATGTTGTCTGCAATTAAAATATTGATTTCAAACATTTCATTACATACCGTTTGAAAGAAGAGGGCAGATTATTGACTGATTAGAGATATGTTTGACGTATATATTCCCTGTTTAGCGTGTTTATATACTGAACCTCAACAGAAACGTCACCCTTCAAAACTAAATGCCGAATTTTGTTCTTACCAGGTGGTGTTTTTATTATGATTGTTCCGTTTTAACATGTTTTTCAATCCAAATTGACAGTTATTGCCAACATCAGCGAGTATTCTGATGAAAAAACATACCTAAAAGGACAAATAAAAAGGCATACGTTGTTATAGGTTCCGTATGACATTCGTGAAAATGAAAATGCACGTGAATATCGTGACAACCTTACCAGTGAAAGCGAGTCCCAAACTCGCCTGAAATCATTTTTGTTTTGACACAATCGCCATGCCACAACTTACGATAGATCAGAGGAACCAAACTTTAGAACGACTGCAAGTCAGCCAGACTGCACGGAGGGTAGCCAATCATTTTAATGTTCATATTCGGACAATCTTCCGACTGTAGGCGCCGTATCAGGGGACTAACAGCACCCAAGACCGTCCAGACCTTCAGTAACATCCCAACGTCAAGACCGACAGATTGTGCGCAACCATCTGCAGGATCGCTTCTCCAGAGCGACTGAGACAATACGCCAGACCATTGGGACTCACAAAAGACCCATTTGTGCCGATACAGTTCGTCGACGTTTGCGCTGAAGAAACCTCTGCTGTCATAGACCATATCGTGGTCCTGTCATCACCGCTGGACACCGCCAAAACCGACTGCAATGGGCAACTTAGCATCGAACTTGTCGTTATCGACAATGGAGAACTGTGGCGATGGCAGAGTGAGAGTATGGCGAAGGCGTGGGGAACGGTTTTCCAATGAGTGTATTGTTGAAAGAAACTCGTGGGGTAGTCCAAGCATCATAGTGTGGGGTGCAATCGGTCTGAAGCAGAGAGTTGGCCCCGTGGTGTTCCAGAATCTCGGTCCAGCACGATGAAATGGGATGACAGCTGCTCGCAATATTGACCAAGTCATAAGACCCACACGGCCAGAGCAACACTGGACTTCTTAAGACAACATGGCATCCAAACCCTATAATGTCCTGCACTCAGTCGGGATTTTAATCCAATAGAACACCTTTGGGACGAGATTCAGAGAAGACTGACTGACCTCTAACCAAGGCCGACAACTGCGGCTGGACTCAATCAGGCATTTTGTAGAGTATGGACCCAAGTGCCAATGGTCTTCATCAACCGGCTAATTTATTACATGTACAGACGATACAACGCCGTCATCGATGCCCATGGAGGCCACACACGATAGTGATTTTGAGGTATCCTAATGGTGATTTTGTTTGTGTGATCTCTAAATGTGATTCCCGAAGATGTCTTAACCATAATTGTCAAGTTTGAACTCAATCCTCCGTTTTGATTGTTAATAAGAGCGAATTAAAGTGTGTGCTTTAAGAAACCTCTATCGGTGTGGCATTTCTGTTGCGGTTCAGTATATATCCAGGTCAGAGTTTGCCAGGTTAGAGGTAGGACGTCTATGTTGCCTTGTTGAAGGAAGGGTTCATGTCTATATTCCCTGATAAGAATTTGTTGTTAGTGGTAGGGTTGACGCCTAAACTATTTTGCTGCAGATAGGGTTGCCATGAATTTTCAAAATTACCTGGTTGGAGATAGGGTTGACCTCTATCGGAATATTTCTCTCCTTAATTAGCCTCATCACCTCTGGGTGTTTAGGGATAGCGAAGCCATGTCCGATCCTTGTTGTGTTGAGGAGGATGGCGTCGATGAGGTTATTGTCGTGGATATCAAGCCAGTCTGGGAAAAGAGTTCACATCTTACTCACATCTTCGATATTCACTGTAATGTATCGCCATTCTACTATCATAAAAATCCCTTACCCATCCGCCACTACAATGTCGTTTTGAGCATAAATCGCTTGACATGACGCAAAAAATAGTCGATGGAGATTACAGTAATAAGAGATAGTGGAATAGCGATATGAGAGCTGGAGATCATGACGTCACAAATCTGACGTCACTTCCGAAACAAATCTGGTGTGGTTCATGAGTCTAATCATAATACAATGCCAATAATCCAGGCATACGTTTCGCATAATACAATATCGAAAGAACAGAATTTCGTGTGAAATACCTTAGCAGGATGCTTTGTTTTGAACTGTACAGAGAGGCAATAACGCTAGTGGTGGCAAGGGAGAGTCACGTGAACGAAACTACCTCCAGTATGGATTCAGCTAGCCGAGATGACATTGTGGACCATTTGATATCCCGCTTGTACAATAAACTCTTCCCGAAAATGTTGGACAAATTGTCGGGGTCCTTATTCCCGAAAATCTTGTTTCTGTTTTGGAAACCTTTGACACGGAACACGTGCATGAAAGCATGATAAAATACAGATGACATACAACAGTCAGTTAATAAGATTTGACCACACGACTGTCACATAATGCTGACGCCATCGATGAGATGTTTGTATCTCTTATTCAGACATTGTCCGTGTTGATTACAAATGTAAGGGAGACAACTTACCTGTTTCCCCGGCATGGAAGAAGTAGGGGATATTACTCTTGTGAGTTCCTGGATAAAGCAGATCTGACGTGTAGTACAGCAAAGTATGTGTGACGTCCTCCTGTTGGACAAGGTCGTATCCAAGGACAACGTCTGGAAATTGCTTCACCAGATCCATAACGGCTTTGACGTCTTGTAGTATCACGCTGGCAGGCTCCTTCCTGTATACAGTGAGGGCGTTGTGTTTAATTGAGCCTTGACCCTAATTTCATAATGGCGTAGTGGAAAGATAGCCACAAAGCATACGTGGATTGCTTTACCAAATATTTGAACTGTCTTTATAAAGCTCAAAACAGGTTTGTGTCAGCGACATATAACACCAGTGTTGAAATATACTATTCACACCTTGCTAAAGATCAAATCATGGATTGAACAGAAAAATATGATGTGGGGGTCAAATTGGATTTAAATATCTAAGCTTATTGTAAGCATGGATCCTAGGCTTCAGTGTGTCATTTCATCTTGTGGAACCCATACCTCCTATTGACAGGTGTTGTGTACTTATCATTGACTTCTTCCATGATTTGCGAAATGGTTGATTGGTGCCATGAAAACCATTTTATGGTTACTCATGTATCAAGTGCATAAGGTCAGATTAAAGTGACTGTTTGTCTAAAGAGGCGTAAGAATGTCATTATTTATCCAGTTTTAAATGGATACAATTTCAAATTATGAATCTACGTTTAAGTAAAGCTGTGAATTTTTTGTGATCCTTAGCAAAGTGTGAGTAGTATATATGTATCCATGTATCATACATCTTATCCTTACAAACATGCACTAGCGGATAGCGGAAAATGTTCTCCATGAAACGTTTAATGAGGTTTAAAGAAATAAACCATTTATAGACATTCATGAGTACCTTAAAGCCAGGATTCATAATTCGGATGTTTACGTGTGTCTTTTTTGTTTGCTTTTTCTTTTCTTTTTAAGACATGACCTTATTCGGTTAGTGCAACTACGGAATCGAAACCCAACTGACACATTAACAGTTTGGATAATTCTAGCTTTTCTATCTGCAGTTCTTTCTTCGGACAGCTCATCCACAGAAGATCTCGGGATGTGAATGTCCGACGTCTACGACGGGACGAAAACCAGCCAGTAAGGCTCTTTTGTATCAACCGTTGGTTGATATTAAGAGATCCTGAAGGCAAATAATGGCCCTAAAGACATACAGTTTATTAATGATAAGATGTTTTGGATGACACATTGCTTGTCAAGATATTCCAGTATATCCGGTTTTCTTTGAATGTACTCACAAATTCTTTAAGCTAATTATTGCCATGAGCAGATATTCTGGTAAACTGCAGTGGATGGGAAGCCTAAGCGTTAAAGCGTTCGCTCGTCACGCCGAAGAACCGTGTTGTTCGATTCCCTGTATGGGTAAAATGTGTATTTCTAGAGTTCCCCGCCGTGACAATTCTTGAAGGTTGGTAAAAAGCGGGGTAAGTTATACCAAACTGAAACATGAGTCTCATTAGCCTATTCAGACAATGACCTACTTTTCAGCCGATCCGAATTTTCTCGTGTGAAAGTGAAAATAGACATCACAAACAACTATGGTTACACTGCATCCCAGTGCCTTGTTTTATAAGAAAATGGTATTTACAAATCAATTTTAATTTTAAACTTTAATAACATCGTGTTTCTATATTTTATGGTGAGGTGTCGGCAGCATGACCTTAACTAAGACGTCACAGACTGCCCCAGTTTGATGAGGTCGTAAAATGATTCACAATGTATCTGACTCACTGGTTACACCTATTATATGTTTTTTGCGCTTATTCAGTCTAGTTCCGTAACGCACAATGTGATTGATATAATATCAAGTCCGTACTAGACCGCAAAACCTTTCTAGCAGCAGAGCCTCGTTGTGAGATTTCCACGATTTCCAGGTTTCTGTTTGTCAGTGCTCGCTGTACGACAGAGCACGCTGCGCGACATGTTTGCAAGGATTATAAGGAGCGTAGTGTTGCAGTATACAAGTGCGTAGGTGTATCAGATAATACTGATTAATATTTATGAATCCAGTTGAATGAATCGGTCTAAAAAGTCTGGACTGGTTATTGTACTGAGTTGCGCAATAGGACGGAACCCAGTCAGCAAGAAACGAGACTGTTGAATAATCTATGTTTTGACTTGCTCCTTCCCTCACTCACTTACTCACTCTAGAAAACTAAACCAAACATGGTGAAACAGTGATCGAGCCTGTTCACCATCATTTGACATTGGATTTGACGTTTGACGTCATTTCACTGTTTGGGAAACTGTTTCCATCATCATGGAATGGTGAATATATCACATCACCAATTTAACAAGCCTTACTTTCGTCCACCAATGATCAATTTGGCACCAGAAAAATCCTGATAATCTTGTTTAAACTCGTTGACAACGTCACGGAAAGTCTCCACGGCCCACGTGAAATCATGAGTTGTCCCGTTTAGTTCATACGGCTGAAAAACAAGACATTTGTAAAGAATACTTATTGGTTATTCAAGATTTGGTGGAGTTAAATAGAGAGTTAAATGAAGAGTTTGGTTGATGAGAATTTCAGTCATATCACTCAGGAGGAGAGTATGAAGTGAATGATGAATTTACGATATTGACGTTCATCTTTGCTCCTGCAAATGTATTAAACAATTGTTTCCGTAGCAAACCGAAAGGATCTTCATTATGAAGAATAATTATTTCTAAGTGATTCTCTTGCTGGTTGACTGTTATATGTTTTACGCCGCACACAACAATATCACAGCCAGATGGGGCCTGTCTGTAAAATAATCGAGCCTGGACTAGACAATCCAGTGATCAATATCATGACCATTGATCTACGTAATTGGGATACGATGATAATATGTGTCAACAAAGTCAGGGAGCCTGACCACCCGATCCCGTTAGTCGCCTCTTACGACAAAGTAAAAAGCAAAGGTTGCTGAAGACCAGTTCCAGCCCGGATCTTCACGAATCCCCACTCTGTGTATTTCATACATATGACACTGCAGTAGACAAATGCCAATTTTATGCTCCATGGTGTTAACTGCATTAGTCAAATACATTAACACATTTGTACACTTCTATTGTGCAATGCCACACATAGTTTGAACATTTTTGTAACCACTACTCTGCAATTTGGAACAACTATTTGTAATTATGTAATAATTTCCAAACGTATATCGAGGTTAATCCACCGTCAAATCTGCTTTTTGAACCCGAGGTGGTTATCGTAATTTGATACCTCTGATAGACCGACTAATTGTGCGATTTCCAAATTCGTGGTTGAATACAAAGTGCACTTTGTACGTTAAAAGAAATGACAAATGCTGTTTATACCTTTAACAGGCCAATGCGGGTCTCTAGGTACTGCACGCCGTCCTCGTGGAACTCCCTCAGAGTCTCGTAGAGTGCATCCTTCAGTACAGGCGCATGACGTAGGAGCCCCCGAACTGTTTGGAAATACTCCTCAAATCGCTGCCAGATGACGTTGATGTTTGGGTAGACAACTTCCGGGTTATCTACTGTCAGTGTCAGATTGTTGTATAGCCTGTGGCAATACAAGAACATGGGTTTGTTAGGTTTGGGGTTTGTTGGTTGGTTGTTTAACGTCGCCTTCAGCAGTATTCCAGCTGTAAGAGGCTGTTTTATTAATAATCGAATTTTAACTTTGCAATCTAGCGATTGCATGACGACACCAAAGCTGGCGCAACGACATCAATACATCAGAATAATATTAATCAATACTCACAGTTCAATACGATCTTCACCTGGAACCTTACATCACAGAACTAAAAAGTAAAGATCTCATACGTGCTCTCTGCAAATTTCGGATTGCCCACAACGATTTTAAAGTCAACATTTTTTGTCATCAGGATGTGCCTATTGAAGAGCTCTACTGTACATTCTGCAATTCCCCAAAATAGAAGACGAAAAACATATTTTTTTTCTGTAAACAGGGTTGTGGACTGTACACTAGAGGTTGTGACAACACTGAAAGAGTCTGCACACGAAGCTGACTCCTAGGTTTTTACACCCGGTCACAGTGGGCTCGATCCCGACACCTCAACCTCGCTGGATCACTAGCCTGGCGCCTTAGCCAGCTCCCTCACCGCGCCCTGTACATAATCGAGTCTAGACCAGGCAATCCGCTGATTGACATCGTGGACATACGATGACATACATCAACCAAGCCTGACCGCCCAATCCCGATGATCCCGATGGCATTGACAAAGAGTTAGACCGGTAACGATGAGTCGCAATGACACACCATGACGGGTCACTATGACAAGCTAACAGTCGGTTCAGTATGACACGTATGATAACCAACCGGGCCATGGTGCTTTACAATCAGCCGGGTCACGATGACACACAATCAACCGTGTCACGATGACACACGATCAGCCGCGTCAAAATGCCAATCAATCAGTTGTGTGAAACTGTGCCAATCCGATTCTAGATTTTAAGTTACATGTGTAGTTTACATCACACTGGAACCTGGTCTTGTACATCAACGTACACGATCTCTTAAGCCGATTTTGCTCGGCTTAACGAGGTGATTCCGTGTGCTAGCTTACCACTGATCGAAGACTGCGATATCCCTGTTCTTGGCACGTTCAGCTGAAATCTCAAGCCATTTGCAATCTGAAATGAATCCAGCTAGTGATGAGAAGTGTATTTCTAGAGATCAAACTGAAGACAAATCATCATTTACTTCTAAGGAATTTATTCAAGAAATTGAAACAAAACACAATAACTTAGTCTCGACCATTTTTTGTACTGTCTCTTTGAAATCGAGCACAGGCAGGGAAACAACATGTAGCATGAATTTTATCCACAGGATCGCAGGGAAAAGTATGATTAAATGAAACGTAATCATGACGTCAACCTACCTTTATCCGCAGGAGGTGTCAAATAAAACCCGGTCATTGTGATAACATTCTGCTTCACACACATATAACAGTTGGGACGATACGTGACGTTCTTCACCAGCCAGTCATTGCTTGTAATGGAGCCGTAATGTAGATGTAGAGCCGCACCTGTCATTGAAACGATGTGACATCACTTGAAAGTTCTACAATGTCACAATAAAGGAAAAACAGATACAGCTGCTTGATAATTCTGGCATAGAATGGTCCATTTCAAGATGGAAGTGTGTATTGTCATTTGGCAATATGTTATGAAAGTGATCATACACTTCGCTAAGATATAGCACCATAGTATTTATAGATAAAACGTATGTATGTTATTTGGCAGTACGTTATGAAGTTATTATACAGTTCGTAAACATAAAGCTACTTAATATTCTCCAGACGAGTCTTGTCAATATAATAAGTGACATGAATACTAACGGCGCTTTCAGTTGAGCAACAAAAGCTAGAAATCCCTGCATCAAGAGCATGCATATAAACCGAAGTACAAAAGAAAGTACACATCTGATTCTTTGGCATTATTTTCGAAAACACAACGAGTCGTTTACTTTGGGCAAGGAACATGAGGGCAGCTTACGATATACATGTCTGTGGTGATTTGGCAACACAAACACAATTTTTATAACTGTAAGACACAATCAAAATAGCTTCGTAAATATTTACGTTGTTTGGGTGAAACGAATACCTCAAAACAAGATGTGTACTTTCTTTTGTTCGTCAGTTTAGATGTTACTCAAAATAGTTACTGTACAGCAACAATCAAAGCACAACCTCTCTCTCTTCTATATTTCTGGGTTTGTGTCAATAAATCTTGTAGTATATTATTATTCACTACCGATAACTCATCGTTTATTCATTGTGAGCTGAACATCTATGAAAGAGGAACTGGATCAAACACCTCAAACAGCATTACCTTTGGGCATTTGTTGTATAATCTTGAACACCTTGCTTTGTTCCATCCGCTCTCTACCTTGGAAAAAGTGGACAGCGGGAATGTAGTTGCTGTCGTCGTAGATGGCGCCGTTGATTTCGTCTTTTTAGCTGCCATTATTATCTTGTTGACAGCTTCCTCGTCAGAGGTGAGGTTCAGCGTCGACCCAATGGACTGCCGCCTTTCTGTAGACAATATTGCGTCTCTCTGGGCTTTGTACCACGCCGGCACGGACTGAACGTTTACTAACAATGTCAGCCAGATCAAACTAATAAAGACAGGCATCGTGATCTTCATCTCCTTCAGCTGAAATATAAAAGGGATAAATATTTGACAGGAGATGTGTCGTAAATACAGATTAAAATAAGAACAACATTGAATTTGAAATTTTGCAACAGTTTATGGTCACCATGACTACACCGAGTAGTATAGGGAATGGGGGTTTTGGACCAGTTCCAACAAAAGCCTCTGCAAAGCCTTATTCCCCAAATAAGGCTTTGGTCGGACCCTTAGCTCTTGCTACCATTACCCCTACTGCTTTCCCAACCTATAAAAATTTCAAGCGTAAAAGTAGTAAAATGTCCCCGGCAGCCACAATTCCCAAAGGGAGAAATAGAAATGTATTGCGCTTCCTCCCTTGGGAATTGTGCCGGCTGCCTTTCTCTCACATCACACAAAGTTGCAGAGACAACGGCGGGATACGAACCCACATACACAGCTTGCGCAGACTATACATAATGGGCCGCACCACTTAACCGACTGAGCTACCGCGGACTTAGCTGAAGTAGGTCAGTTTAACGGGTAGATCATGCGCACCCACGCATCACGTGACACGTTGTCTGGAATCAATAATTCCTGTCTGCCTGGCCCATCCCTCAAGTAGTACAAGGTAGGTTCGTCTGATTTCATTTTCATTTTATCTATGTCCACGTGCTGCTATGTCACGTTGGCCTCGATGAAACAGTTTAATGTGAATCGCCTATGATCTCTTTGGTGTTCGTTATAAAAGCTTGCCGGGCTTTTTGTATCCCCTGTTCTATATACTTTTTTTTCTCGTCCTCGCTGATAGCAGACTTACGAGACTTGGATCGAATCTCTTGTTTCATTTTGTCATATTTTGTGAGTTCAGAGAGGATTGAACGAAACTCCTCCTCCGAGATCTTACTGTCAGTGAGTGCCGTGGAAATACGCTCACTCACCGTGTTCAGCTTTGCTTCAGCCAGAACCCTGATTTCGTCGTGTTTCAATGCTTTACGATGCAGTCTGCGGGATACAAGCTTAAGCCCCAACCCCAACACCCCTGTCACCCCAGCTGTTATTTCGAGCCCCATCACTATAGGTGCGGCCACGATGGTAGCTAACAACCCAACACCTGCCACCCCTAGGCCCATGCTGGCTGCCATAAGGGTAGTATCAGTCCCGTCCACGGCATTGAAAGCTCTATGGTACTTCTTATATAGTGCTTTCCGCTTATCGCGGTCTTGTTCTAGTTGACGTTTTACATCGCATAACTGTCTCAAGCGGAACCCGTCTACGGTTTCCAGGGTCTTCGCTACTTCATCTATGCCTGGGTACAGTCCCATCCTATAATATATATTACAAAAGATATTTTAATTGGGTTTCATTTAACCTTCGATCAACGTACTTGAGACTTATAAGGTGTAAATCCTCATGTAGGAAAATAGATGAGAAGTTAATAGGTAACTTTGCATCCACACGATCCCCATAGGAGGGGTTTATTGAGGAGGTTATAGAACCCGTTGAGGGGTCCGTTTGTATGATGATGGTGCAGTAACATTCATTAACTTTCTGGGGATTCCAGTGTACTATCACCCCAGGTACAAGTTGTTGTTCTAGATTATTACTATTAACTCTAGTGATGTAGACTTCTATGATGAGTGTGGAGCCTGGTGACACAACTGGAATACCAAATAGGTGTCTGTAGCATTCATAATTTAACTCACCCCCGTGGAATGATAGTAACATATTGGGTAAAACCGGGCTTAGTGTAATCTTTGTATTAGGTCCCGGAACGAAACACCCGAGTCTAGTACCACTATTCTTAATTTCAGAGATAAAACGTTGTTCCTTAAATGAGATATAAGGTGAGGTGAGGGTTAAGTTGATTATCCATTTGGGCTCTTTAAAATCTGATAACGACACCCGCCTATACACGTTGTCTTTCAAGTGCAGGATGTATAAGGTGTCTTCCTCACCAGGCTGATCGAATCCCTCCGTGTCCCCTAGATCGTTAATCGTAGTGTTGGGGTGAAGCCAAGACATTGCTATAATACTATTACGATATAATTTCCAACTGGTTTTCTGATAATAGTTCAGGGGTGCACTTCACCCCCATGAAGTGTATGTTGTCGGGTAGGAAGATCTTGGTTAGTGATATAATGTCTTCCACGACCACAGTGACACCCTGCAGACTGGTTTTGGAGTCGACACCCACCCGCACGTAAACGTTGCAAACGTGATACTGTTGTTGTTTCCCCCACCGCAGTTTGACCCCCTTCACGATCTCTACATCATCCCGCGATGGTTCCCCTAGGTAGACTTGGATGATCAGTGTTGAGTTCGCCGGTAGACTCTCCAGGATCTTGACCACGCCTTCGAATTCAGCCACCAACTGCAATACCACGTTTTGCATGCCCGCTTTACTCGATAGCATGTGGGCTGCCATACTGGCGAGTGGGCTGATGACTACGCTACGTCTCTGAGTCGGGATGTAAGCCACGAGCAGGGTTCCGTTGTTCACGACTTTATTTAGGTGGTTGTCTTTGTTATCCGTGAACACGTAGGGGGAGCCGAGCCTAATATTGAGAAACCAGTCGACTTTATCTGGTAATAACACCCACTTGTCATCATCGGTGAAGACGAGCGTATATGGTTTGTTTCGGGCGACGGTAGTGCTCTCAACATCGGTTAAGTCGAACAGTTTGCCCCCGAACGATGGGTATATTATCCAGTTATCATCACCGGTGTTGACAAGGGTGTACTTAGTGTTGACTGCCGCTCTTGAGGTATCTACTATATCACTTAGGTTGCTAGTACCACCGGAGGGGACTTCAACGCGTTTGTAAATGCTGTTTTTCAGTTGCAAGGCGTACAATTTGCCATCTACTCCGGGGTCGTCGAATCCGCGTGTGTCCCCGAGGTCGGAGATCCCTACATTGATGCATTTTTTCAACTTCATTCCGGGACCTTGTGCGCTGGTCATTTTATGTGCAGCGTTACGCTGAGGTATCCTATATTCACGAGATTATGATTTATATCTAACACCGATATTATCAGCTCAGGGATGTTGCCCTGGGTTAACCTCTTATACTGCCGCGGTGAAAACGACTCGGTTCTGCCGTCGTTGTATTTCTCCGTTTTCACCGGTACGGCTCTCAGTATAGTGGAAGGGTGACCCCCCTTGAATGTTGTCCGTTGTGCTAACCTGGCTGAGATGAATGCACAGCTCTCGGTACGGTACTAGGTCGGGTAACTTCGTGCCTGTGGCGGTAGTCGTTGGTTTTATCTCGTCAGGCTGTATACCGAGTGTCCTCGCCAGTGGTCGACCGAGCCTCAAGGAGTTTCTTCCGTTGTTGATTAACACCACTGTACCGTTTGAGTCGTTCATCTTGAGTTCGGCTCCCAGGGGTTTGAAGACCTCGTCGCTTAGAGAGCACACGCTGTAGTAACCGTCAATTATCTTGTTGCTAGCGCCACCTACGAACAGTTTATTGTTGCTAGCGTTGATGTTAGTCCATCGTGGTAGGTAGGTGATATCGCACAGTCGCGACTTCGAGTTGACCCGACGTGTTATCGATCGCGTGCGTCAGCTGAACGGCCTCGCCGCTCGTTATTCCTGGAAGTGTTATGTACATGTTAGAGTATATAAACTCATTATATAATAGTTTTAAAATGTACTCCCCTGGAGTGTTTTACCCTAAACTGGACGTAGATTTCCCCCACATGAAGATCGTGGTCGCTGATGGGTTGTATTTCGACGCCCAGTTCATAGATGTGTTTGATAAGTATAAGTTTTCGGTGACTAACGCTAAGGTAGTTCACGCTTGGTTCAACAACCCGATGCAGTTCTGGCAGAATCAACTCAACTTCGCCGTGTGGTGCGCTACAACGGGGTGTGGTGTGACATTGACCGACACTCGGCGTGGCCCTCTGAGTCAGTCTGTGTTCACGTTCCACGTGTACTACCAGGTCAGACGTATCCTCAAAGAGATCAGCGCCCCGCTCCCACAGGAAAAGGCGTGGAATGCAGTAAACAACCAGTACGATAGACGGGCCTACGAACGTATTTGCAACGAATTCGAACTAAACACGAAGACGGATTGGCGTTTGCCGGGACCGAACCACGGGTTGGGTATCCCCATCGTTCACAATATGCCCCTCGTGGAAGCCAGCGAGAAGTTGAAAGAATGGGGATACAAGTCATATCATATCACAACAAACGAGTGGGATGACCGTTACATGGCTTTCGACAACAGCAAGGATTACAGAGTCTGGAGGTTCGAGCAGGGGGCAGCGGATGACTGGAAAAAGTTCATGCTGGACACGTCGAAAGGGTTTACTCGTGCCGGGGTAATCAGGTTGAACGACTCGATTCGAACGTACGTGTGGGCGCTGTTGGGTGCGCAGACGCAAACGCGTTCCAATATCCTAGGTAAGGGGACTGCTTACGACGCTCAGAAACAGTTCGTTGTCAACGTTGAGGATGCTATTAATGCTCCAGTTGATCTCCCGAGTGCCATCAAACGCTACCAAGACGTGTTGGAATATGCCAGGTCGAAAGTCGACTACGTGTTCGACGTGGGACTGTACATGGCTCCGAGTGATATGCAACTGAGAGTAAAAAAAGTGGTGGGCTACAACAACGAAATAGTTATAGCCACGGCGGGTCAAAAGTTGGGCGTCAACCTCGATGTCAACGTCCCCCACGTCCCACCACCCACGACCGGTGAAACGGGTATAGTAGCGCCACCCCCGGAGCCTAGGGTTCAACACACACACCTACAGCCCCAGTCTGCAGCCTCCAATCAGCAGCACATCGATCGTAAAACAGCCCTGGTGGTTGGTGGGGTAGCTTTGGGGCTCATTTGGTTAAAAATTCCTTAGCCGCTACGTACACCAGACCCGCCACGGCGACGATGGCTGCCCACAGGTTTTGACTAAGCCACGTGGCAGTTTTAGCCAGAGCGCTCAGCAACCACGAGACGATGCTACCCAGGATGCCGGGTAGGGCTTCGGCGGCCTTACCAGCCAGTTTAGCCAGGGCCTCCCCGAGTTTTTTTATCCAGTCTTTGACACCCCCCACCACTTGGTGCAGGCG